CTAGTACAGTGCATTTTGGATTCAGATGAGAATAATGCTGATAACACATCCATGTTTTAATTGTTGTTTAATAGTGCTTATTTTAAATCACAAACTTTTCAGTTTTCCATGCTCTACCAGCAAGCAGATGCTCAAAAAGCCCTGAGGGAGCATTGCTGGGACAGCTGACCTGAATGAACTAGCCAAAGGGTTATTCCACACCATAGAACATCCTTCCCAGGAGGGAGTTGGCTGGGAGCTGCCAATCACTGCTGGGGCATGGGCTGGGCAACAGTCAGCAGGTAGTGACCATTTGTAGTGTGCATCACTTGTGGAGTTTCTGGGTTTTATTCCTCTATCTCCCCTTTTCATTAGAATCATTATTGTTGTTATTATAATTGACATTGCTTATTTTACTTTGTTTTAATTATTAAACTGGTTTTCTCTTAACCCACAGGGTTTACTTTTCTTCCCATAATTGTCCTCCCCACTCTGTAGCAGGGACTGAGCAAGTGGCTGTGTGGTACTTATTTGCCAGCTGGTGTTAATCCACGACAACAATGTATTTGTACATAAAATTTTAGTCTGAAAAGATGGACAGTACTTATTATGCTTTATCAAGCTTCCTGAGTGTAAATACCTTTCTATATTCAGGAACTACAATTGCTATGCCAACGCAAGTCCTGTGATGAAAGGCCACAGAATAAACTTCCATCAAGCTTACTTTCATGCCAAAGAATGGGAATAGAAATGTTCTGCAGCATGAAACTCATTTCCCACATGACCAACTCTAACACATGTATTTAGTATCTTTACTGCCACATTAATACAATGTAAAGATTCCCCAGTTTCAGTATCACACAGTCATATGGTTTAATATTGTCATTATAAAGATGATGTCTGTGGGATATCGTTATTAAAATAATAATAGCATCCTATCACGAACAAGCACAGGACCAGCAGCTGGGTCCTCAGCCTCATTTTACAATGTGGACAGCTTCAGGGCTTACAAGAAATTCCATTTCAGAAATTTTTCAACCAGGGGCATCTACCAAAGCTACAGCAGACATGGGAAATGAAGGAAAGGTAATTATTTTCAACACAATACTGAGTTACCACATAGACAATATTACCAACAGTCACAACGGAACTGTCTACAGATAGCAACACAGCTCAACTACTACAGCCATATGTGAAAATGAAACAGAGCTACAACAAGACCTAAGGCATGTCATGTACTTAAACCATCTTGAGCCTACAGTATCTCATAAGCTACTTTACTTACATCTTACTCACAATAATACCTGCAACACACTGTACACATCACAGATGTAACACACTGGCCCTACCTACAACATATGCAAGGGTTTCTCAACCTGAACGAAGGATAGCTCTAAAATAGCTCTAATCCTAATGGCTTGGTAGGAAGTCAAAAGATGTGTGCCAACCAACCACTGCCCACTGTCTTCCAACACTGCTACTGATGAATTCGGGAAATGGAAGGGTAGGTAAATTACAGCATGGATGGAAGTTAACAGTAATTGGATATTTTAAAAATATGTAATTTACACAATACCATTATCAGTTCATTTTCTGGTTTACTTTTTTTGTAAGCAGTATTACTTTGCAGCTGTGGGTTTACAAACAATAGCTAATCACACTACTCCCTAAAACAGAGCTATTTTTGCCTTAAAAAAAAAACACAACCCAACCAAACCCTCTCGAAATAATAAAAACAAAAAACAATCCCAGAAAGCACCTTGAACCTCTGATACACACACATGCTGATACTGTGTCTGAAAACACTGACAGATCTGACTAGAGGCTGTTCATTCAGCAAGATAATGATGTAACAAAGTGCAAAAAATGCTAAAAATATGCTGTGAGTTGAAACAATTCAATTTTTTAAACATACTTGTTTCCAAAACCATTAATTTTTAGTGGTTATTATTAATTTAACTCTCTTTTACACATTTATTTCCATTTAAATACCTGCTAAAACAAGCAAAACAAGTTCCTTAAGAAAGGGCTCCACTATGCCTCGCTAACTTGGTAGATATATTGCTCTGACAGCATAACCCATGGAACGGAATAGAGTTCGCTAAATTTTGCATTTAATTCCTACAACTCAGCAGGGCAAAAAAACAACTGTGAATCATATTTCTATAATACAAGACTGTTAAAATTCAATCCATACAAAGTGTAAAAGCTTATCTGAATCCTATAAAATTTGTATTGTAAATAGCATTCATTTATGAGTTTGAGTTTGGACACAAAGTTTCTTTGACATGAGAAATTCAGACACAACTGCACTGAACACATACCACTGTTCAGTTATGAAATTGCAACAAAGCAAGTTGAACTAAAAAGTTACAATTACATGAACACACAGCACCTTACATATACGAATTTACGACCAACTAAGTGACCAACTAAGTTAACCAACTATCCATCACGCCTTTCTTCAAATGTTAAGATACAACTCATTGTTTCAGCACCATATTTGTTACCAATGAATCCAGGTTGAAACCTCAACCTGCACAAAGAAGAAAAAAAACCTGACTCCCGCCCCCCAAAAAATAAAGAAAACCTAACTTGTTATGCTTCACTGTTTAATTTTTTCTCAACTTCTCCACCTTCTATACTCACTTGTATCGATTCCAAAAGCAAACAAGTATAATTTTATGCTACAGACTGCTCAAAAAATTAGTTGATCAGATGTAATTCTATTTTTAACTTTCTGGCTTGTAAGGGAAACATACAATATTTCATTTGCTAATGAAAATCTAGTAGAAGAGGATGTGACTGGATACTGTTGAAGATACAGTTATTGATCTGTTACTACCTGGTAATAAAATTGTTGCTAGGGTCAGACTATACAGCCAGCCTGTGATACATTAACTACTCCATGACTGCAGCATTATCTCAGAGAATTACACCTCACAGGAAGTATTAGCTTTATTGTGTAGGGAATTGGCTTGTGGAACAGAGGACACTGTCTCATGAGACAGTGTTCCTGTTCTCATGAGACAGTGTCCTCTGTTCCACAAGCCAATTCCCTACATTATTGTTATGAGGTGATGCAAATTATTTACCATTGTTTCAGTTTACCCTTGAAAGGAGAGACATAATAAATGCTACTGGAAAAAGGAAGATAAAAAAATCTGCCTAGTCCAGACACAACAGGAATTTTGTATAAAAAGTCTAGGCCAGCTTCTCTTGCCTGCAAGACACAGGTCAACATACCACTGAATACAGCCAACATTGTTTATTTAAGATTTCCAAAAAACACTAAGAATAGTATACAAGGACAGTATCTTATGCTGTCTAGGATCTGTGCCAAATCATAATACTTAAAAGGGAACTTGGACATTAGAGCAGGTGAGGCTGTCTCATGAATTTACAGGGATGTTCTCAGGAAGGCAGTTTTGCTCTTCAAGTTTTTTCCAGAGACATTTAAGTTCTTTGGTAGTTTTTCCAGTGATCTCTACACAAGCTTGTGACAGCTTTTACTGGTTTCAACCTGTGAGATTATTTATTACAATACGTAAGTATCTTGAGCTGCTTTGGATTTCTCCCCCATTTTTATCAATAGTGTGCTATGTGACACTATCCATCATACAGTTGACTCACAGTACACGAAAAACAGGTAATATATCAACAATAACAAAAGATTTCCTTTACAACTGGCAAAACGACAGCAGTTCTAAGATTTAAAGTCACCTATGACTTCATCACTACTACCATTTTATGTATTCCTATTTCCTTCTTGTCACATTCAGGTAGGATTTCATAACAAGGCCCAATGGGTTAATGAATACTGTATCAAAGTCTTAATTATTTTTCAGTTACTTAATGAAAGCCTCTTCAGACAGCATCAGTTACAGGAATTTAATAATAGCAAAAAAACCTCCCTCAGTCCATACATAATGAAAAACCCAACGTATTGTATAACTGTACCGTTCATGTCACAGAACCTTGACTTAGCATGATTTACGCAAATGGTAAAATCCTCTGTACAAGTACTGAGCACTTAAATATCAAGTGTCAGAGCAGTCTTTGTTGGTAAAGATATAACTACATAAAAATCACTCTGATACAGTGCTGAGTAGCATCTGCTGCAATTTTTATGTTACTGACTTCATACTGAAAAAATGGATTTTATCTTCACCTTGAGTCAACAGACTTCCTACTAAACATCAGCTTTTTATCTTTAAAACTGTGTCAGAACTGTTAAATTAATTACAGTGTGGATATGTTTAAGTACAAATCAAGTGTGTTAAGATGTCCATTTGAACGTACTGATATGGATTTAATCAGTAGTTGTAGTTTAGCAAGCTATCCCTCTCTCCATGGAACAGTTTACAATTTGAAGTTTAACTACTACAGCTGTAACAATCAAGCATGAGAATAAAACTGTTAAATGACAATTAATACACAGCAATTAAAGCGACAACTATCCTACATTCCTGGAACAATGCTTTGGTTTCATCTACTGATTACTCAATTCGAGAACCCTAAGCAGCTTTGTTAATGTTTTTAAGTCACATATTCCCTTTCCCCACAGCCTCACTCCTCTGCAGAATGGAATTTATTAAGCACCGTTCTCTAAATGCAAAAAGCCATTTTGACTGCCATGAGTCAGCTGGAATTGTACTGCTTGATAATACACAGAATCTCAGTAGTTTGATTTCAAAACTGAACACCTTGACCAAATGCAATTTTAGAATGCCTCACTTTTAAAAACAAAGGTTTGGGATTCAAAACCACTCTCATAGGCGTCAATTTTTTTTACTAACACTGAACACCACGTATCTTAAAGCTCTGTTCCAGAACTAGTTCTTTTTCTAGATTCTGAGGAGAGAGTACTCAAAAGCACCCTTAACACTGTCCCTCAAGACCATCACCGCAACAGGAGACAGCTACTCAGAAGATAAACAAACCCTCCACCTTGTGTTAAGTCACTGCTTGTACCCAGTGTTAAATCACTGCTTGCACCCAGCATTATTTTGAGAACATACCTGGCTCAGTCTCTGTTTTGGGTGTTAATTCTTCCTCTCTTGAAATGCTCATTTCTGTCATTTGCTGTGTTACAGGCAAAGCGGCAACAGGCACGTTTCTGTTTAAGTACAGTGAAATACACAATTTACATTAGTTTTACATTCATGATAAAAGCTTAAATTGTCCAGTCTGGACCTTAATAAACTACTGGTTCAACTACTACTGATTCATTTTCCTGACATGTGTTTCTACTATCTTCAAAACAGATTTTTTTACTGTTTTGTTTCCACAGAAGAAAACAGGCAAGCCTGTAGCAAATTATTTCAGCAGATAAACAAAGAACATTCTTTTAACTGAAGCAGTACAGCAAATATTTGAATAATTTTTCATTTACACAGATTATCTTAAAGCCCTGTCAGGTCATGGGTCCTTTTTCCCCTGCAGACACTCACTATGATAGGGCAGGATTGCTGCAAGCCTTCAACTTGCTGCACACTCAGCTCATTCAAACCTCATAGTAATACTTTAATTTTACCTTGTTTTTTCAGATGTGCTGCCAGCAGCACCTTCACAGTTGTTTAAGCTAGTGTCTGCTCTCTGTATAGATGCAGAGTCTGAGGTAGGACTGTTTGAACCACTGCTTGTTCCTATACAACAAGAATTTGACACGTTACAAACAAATTGTAGCAAACACATTAGTCAAATAGTCTCCCATACAGCTATGAACTGTCTGTATAAAATCTTCACTGCTACTGCACACTACTTTTTACTTAAAGACATGGTAAACTGTTAAACAAAATACAGATTGCATAAGAATACACTAACAGAGGAGGCTAAGTGGGAAAGCAAGTTATGATTTAATGCCAAGCAAATCAGAATACATTATACAGAAATGTATTTTTATCTTTACTGTGATTTAAAGTAGTATTCTCTTGGATATTCATTGTTTTAGTACATAACTTACAGAAGTTCTCCTAAAAAATTTTCTAGGATTCCTTGTAATCTTCCATAGTTTAACTTTAAAAGAAGTAAAAAAAAAAAAAAGAAAAAAAATCAACACCACACACTCTTACCCATTGGGCTGATTCTACCACTATTCTGCTGTCGCTGAAGATGTTCTTTGTAGCAAACAGAACACATCCCATTTGTCCTAGGATTTCCATAAAATCCACATCCTGTAGTACACAGCATAGGCCCTGGGGTCTGATTTGTCTCCTGAGTCATCTCGATGCTGTAAATAAAACCAAGAACTGCATTAGGAGCTGGCATGTCACCAAAATCAATTACAGGGTTACAGAATTAAAAGTATCTCTGCTCACCTGCCCCCCAAGTGATATCAGCATTCTTAAAGAGGGTTATATGAATGTTAATATGCCATTCACGACTCCAATTGTATTGCTAAGTAATATCATTATGAACCATTAAGAGAAGAAAAAGTATTAAGATATAATATACCTGTTGGGCACTGAGCTGCATGTACAAGTTAATTTAATTTGACAGCCAAAACCCCTCCTTAATTACTAATCTCTGAGCACTAATAGAATGTAGAATAAGAAAGACCAAGTTTATACCCACAAAACAGTTCTGGCAAACTATATAGCTTACTTTTCCCAACTCCTTGCTTTTTCAGTGCCAATCTTGCATCATTTTGAGGCTAATTCCACTATTAGCAGTTCTTGCTCTCACAATACTCTTCCAAGAGAAATAAAATTAACAACTTCAACCTGTTTAACAGCTTACACACTTACAAAAGAAAAAAAAACCCTGTGTCTTAATAAAGTTATAGCAAGACTTCTGAGCCTACCAGAGGCAGTCAGTGTCAATTCTCTGCCATAAATAAAAATTTTCACCTCGTCATCTGCTAACCTCTGCAAAGCAAGGTTAGTAGAAAACTGCACAATAACCAAATCCTTGATTCCCAAGGACAATAAAACTGGAACACAGTAATCACACAATCTGCTACAATTTGAGGACATGTAAGAATACTACACTAAAATATAAATTTAGTAGAAGCCATGCATATGGCACCCAAAGACATTTTAGTGTAAATTTTAGATTGCTGTTTTCCTGTTCAGGAACAGTCACAGTAAGATATTTGACCAATGACACTTACTAGAAGTCAAAAACCCTGAAAGTGAATTTGTTACAGTGTACAGAAAAACACTTTTTTAATTAAGAGATCCCACACTGCAAGTAGTAAACTTATGTTCCATTAGTATGAAAATTGCAACTGACAGTTGCCTTTGTCTAGCTAAACTCCTGGCATCAAAGTAAACCAAAACCAGAAGAAAGCAAACAAGCAAAATTCATCTGCTTGCTTGCTGGTGGGCACAGGACCCAATTTTCCAGGTATAAATAGCTGTACTATTTATGGCTTTATAATACCTTCCAGGTATAAACAGTGTCTTTTCAGGCTACAAAACAGCTTCATGCTTTCTCTGATACAGTCTGGCAGCCATACACACCAGGCAAGTGAGCCAGAAAAAAACGTGACCCACCTAGAGAAATCTAAAAACAATCTTGTCACCTATATTGTAAGGCCTATATCTGTATAATATAAATAAAAACTGTACTCCAGCCCTTTTATTACTAAGTCGGTAAGATCTAAGTGCCACCAAACACACTGCCAACACCGACCTCAATCTACTTGCTTCACTTCCAAGTCAGTGTGCCACAACAGATTTCACCACTTACTAAATCTTGTTTTAGGTGCTAACGCTACTATTACCCTGCTACAAACTAGAGACTCCGCAGCTCCTTTTGTCTGCACATTATTCCACCACTTGAAATGCGTGCCCCTAACGGAAAGGTCAAGTCGTTGATACCCAACGCTGAACAAGTCGAGCTTTTCCAGGCTCCGGGATGCACTCCGGATGTCATCCGGGTTCACTCCAAAGGCGCCCACCTCCAGCCGCACACTCACCCCGGCCGACCCCGCCGCCACGGCTCTGCCCCGGGCGCTCGGGCGGCAGACGAGCCCCCGCTGCCCGCTCGGTCACATGTCGAGCGGGAGTGCGCTTCCGCCCATCAGGCGGAAAGTCACGGGCCTGGGGCACCCGGCCGCCCCCGCCGCCCGCTGAAGTCAGTCCCTATTTATATCTCCCGCAGGCCGCCGGCTCTGGCGGGAGGAGGCGCCAGCGATATCCGACCGCCCTTCCCTTCCAGGGGAGAGCGGGTGCTTACAGGCAGCCCAGAAAATGCGGCATCACCAGCCCGCCGCCTCCCGCTGCCCTTCTGGCGGCCAGCGCTGTGGTCGCTGCTGGGCGTGACCGAGGCCCGGAGCAGCCTCTGCTCCACAAACGCGGGGGCGGTTATACCCAACCGTTCCTCTTCGAGGGAAGGAAACAAGATCATTGAGAAAGGTCTCATTTCACCAGCAGCAGCAGGTCTTCACCTCAGGGCTGCTCCGGCTCAGGGCCGCGGTCTCCCGAACATATTATCCCGCCGGCAGCCCCAGCCGCGCTCCCCCGCCGTTACCGCCTCAACGCGGGGGGACAGGGCGGGTAAATCCCGTTACCGACCCCGGCCGCGCTCCTCAGCCGCCCCCCCCCCCCCCCCGCGGCCGTGACCGGGCCGGCCCCGTCCCGCCAGGCTAGCCCAGTCTGCGGAGTAACGATAGAAACGGGCGCTGAAAACAGCCATAAAACTCGGGCACTGCGTCAGCCATGGGCCCGCTGACCTCAATACCCATTTGCCTCAGCATCTCTCTCCCGAAGAGAGAGCACGATTAAACACGAGAAACACAGAAACAAAAGGAGGGTAGCACAGGGATTGCGAGAGGCCTGTCAGGGACGCGCTCGGCCGAAGCAGAGCCCAGGGTCGGTACGGGAGAAGCGAACCGGCAACGGGCGCTCCCCAGGCGGGGGCAGTCTGGTGGCTGACTCAGACAAAGGGGGGGCCCCTGCCAAGAGCCCGCAGCGCCTCAGGCCTTAACTGCGCCCCCCCCCCACTCCCCTCGTCTACCCCGACGCCGGGACACAAAAGACCAGGGAGGTGTCGCGCTCAGGAGCGGTGGCGGCGGGCGGAGATGACCGGCCAGGCCGCTCCCCGCAACCCCCTGAGTCACGGTGGCTCCGCCGCCGCCAGGGCCCAGCCGCCGCCAGGCACGGGGACTTCGATGTCTCCCGCCTGCACTGGCCCGCGCCGTGGGCCAGGCGGGACGAGGCGGTCGGAGGGGCCGCCTGCGAGGAGGCCCGGGCACACCCCGCCACCGGAAAGGCCCCAGGGAGCTGAGCCCAGCCCGCCGCCCCTCACCCACCTGTTCCCGGCGGGGGCCACGAACCCCGAGGCGGGTGCCGGAGAAGACGCCGCGGACGGCTCCGGGCGGCTGTCGAGAGCGCGGGGGGCGCCGAGCTGGCGGCCGCGCCGCCGCCGCGTCGCTCCTTTGTTCCCGCAGCGGCAGCGGCGGCCGTGTCGGCAGCGGCGCGAGGCGGGACCCGCCGTGCGCGGAGGGCGGGCGGCGGGAAAGCGCTGGAGGCGGGCAGATGGGGAAGGGGAAGAAGAGGACGGCGAGGAGGAGGAGGAGGAGGAGGAGGAGAAAGAGGAGGAGGAGGAGGGAGGAGCGCAGCCCGCCCGGCGGCCGCGGCTCCTCCCGCTGCCCGCCCGCCGGTACATGCGTAGTGCTGCCGCCCGCCCGCTCGCCCGTTGCCGCTCGGGGGCCGTGAGCCCCGCGCTGGCCGCGCGCCCGGCGCGTCCCGCGCGCGTCACGGGAGCCCCGGGGCACGGGGAGGGAGGGGGGAGGGAGGGGAGGGCGGCCTGGGCGGGGCGGGGATGGGTTTTCCATGAGGGAGCGCCTGCTTGCCGCTAGGCATCCGCGGGATGTGGTGCCTCGACGTCGGCTCGTTGCGTAAAATCGTGGAGAACACAAGTGGCCCTTAAAATGTAATTTTCTAGGGTATTTTTTTCTTTTTTATTTGACCTAAATTTACCTTACAAGATCTAGGTGTCTTGTGAGATCGAAAGCAAAAATGCAGAGGTATTGCCCCGAAACAGAAGAGAATTCCAATTTAAATTCCCGATTATGAATTTCATGGCCAGCTGTCTGATCACTCTCCGTGCTCTGAAGATCTGACCTTCACATATTAAAAAAGAATAAGGAAGTAGCCACATATTTTACTGAATCCAATGCTAAAGAGCCAATCATGCCTCTTATTTTGAAGACTATCTTATCTTCTAAGAGGCCAGTATCTTCAAAAATACTGTGAGGTTCACAGAAACTGCCTTGAAGACCTCTTCTAACTTGGGATGTTTGGAATATCAGGGATCTATAAAGATAGAACACTCCCAGGGTAAACTTAGTATTTTACCTAAAGAATAAAAGGTACTTGCACCTTCGAAACCACAGCTTCAGAAGATTTTGGACCTCGTATTGCTTGCCCAGTGGCATCACAAGCAAGTTGCCCTTCTGAAGAAGCCGGTGACTGGTTAAAGATTGATGCTTTTGAAGAAATCTCAGGTGAATATCCTCATTGTAGAGCAGAAACGTACCACTGCCACTGTCTTACAGCGGTTGTTCCTGGTTGTATGTTGTGAATTGTTCAAGAATGTGGGCACCTGGACCTTGGCAGGTGAGGGAAGCAGGAAATACCTGGTTTGGGAATCTGAGGGTGACAGGGTATGGAGCAGAGTTTTGGGCACTCCTCTGAAAGAGCAACCTCGCCACCCGATGAAGGGCATCTGCCTTCCGGAGAGACTTAAAGCGTAGCATCCCTGAAATGTTTTGGGGGTGATACATTGTTTTTAGACATAGATGGTGAGCAGTCCAACTGAGGGATAAGTGCCCATCTTCCCCACAGATTCTTCATCTATAAAATGTGTTGGACTGCCTTATAGTACATAATTGTAAGCTTTCACCTAAGATGACTAGCAAACTATATGTGACCATAGGGCCTACATATTTCTGCATCCAACTGTTTTCTGCAACACTGCAAGGAAGAAGCCCAGGTGTTTCTTTCATCCAAAGCATTGCATTTTTTTGAAGTTACTCGGATCATCTAAATCAGTGTGCATGAAATGATCCAATGGGGTGCAGGAAGAAAATATTAGAACTTTAGTGATGTATGTATGTAACTGATAAAAAAATATGTATACTAAGGATGTTTTCTCAACAATGTTTCAATAGGAGTGCATGATCAAAAAAGTTTGGAGACCACCGATTTAAATTATATCAGTTGTGGGGTTGGGTTTTTTGTTTGTTTGGTTGGTTTTGTTTGGTTTTTGGTTTTGTATGTGGGGGGTTTTTTTGTTTTGTTTGTTGTGGGTTTTTTTGGAGGGGGGAGTGCATTTATGCAATAGAAGGATTGACTGTTTGCTTTATTCAGCCATGCATCTTCCTCTCAATTATTTTCCTGAGAAAATTGCTGTACTGATGGTGTGTGTCCACTTCTCTTGATAGTCTTGATTTTCTATATTTTCTTTTTGCTACAGTTTGAGCCAGATGTAGTCACTCAGACTGCAGTGAGTTTCTGCCCAATCTAGTATTTTATTTTATATATCTGACAAACAAAACATTTCCTTAATTTGCCTTGTTGGATTTCTCTGTATTTTTGAGTATCTCCTAGGCAAAGACCAAGCTGTACTTGTGGTATGATATGACCACACATCCTGATACAGAAAGCCTGAAACATGACTGGTTCTCAGTCCTGGAGAATCAAATGTGTTTTAATTTTTCACACAAGAGACGAGTATTTACAGGTGGACATTGTGGCTGTAGTGTTGATAGATAAAGAGGTCAGAGGGGTGAGGTAGGCAGAGAAGCTGCAGTATGAAAGCAGGTGAATCTGCAGCACCTATTTGTTCAATACAGGTGAGTAATGTCCCAGTTCACATAATGAGCTTGATGGTGGCCACATTCTTTTTTCTGTGTAGCTGTACAGACCCTGCTAGCCTATCCAGCTCTACATGTGAACAGAGTGTGCCTTTCTTAATACCATTATTTGTGGCTGATGTAAATGTAAACTAGTCCTTTCTGGCCAATACTGAGATGTATGTGATACAAAAGATAAATTTGTCAGGCATAGCAATCACTTAGATTTCTGTGTGACATGAAAAGATTCCTGCAGCTTCATTTGGAGCAGTTCATCCTTCTATCTTTTCAGTGGGATTCTTTTGAGCTAGTCTGGATATGTGGCTTATCATTTGCTTACCACGGAGATGTAAATATTTGGCAGGACATATTGGTAATGGTCTATGAATGTCCTCATTCAGTCTTAGGAAGAAAAAAAAACCACAAACAACTTTAACTCTCTCCTCACAGAAGTTTTCAGGACAATACTATTTTTGTTTTCTCTGATGCTGATGCTCAGGAATAATTCATCAATTTCCTCAGAAAATAATCTCCCTTCCCTATACTCCAACACTTTCATGTAGTGTTCAGTGGGGACCCTGTGAGTATCAGAGTGTAGGGTCAAAACCAACTTATAAAATTTCCTGAGGGAATGAAAATTCGGGTTGTGAATTGCTGGAACCATAAAAGAAACTTATGTTTTTAAGCTGCTTGGATCCTTCACATAGAAGAGCCCCAGGAATTCTTATGCCTTGGAGTTAAGACTGGATCAATGACGTAGAAAGGAAAAAGCTTTACATCTACTGCCATATGGAGACTCATGCAATACTAGCAGCATTGTAATGAACAGGTTTCCGGGGTATTGGATATATAGAAGCCATAATTATTTTATGACAAATATGGAGCTTTTAAAAGGCTGTGATTTTAAAGGCTTAACTGAAGCTTGCTTATCAGGACAAAAATGTTCCCCAGTAACAGGAATAACACAGACTACTGCTACAAGACTAGAGCTAATATGAGACAGTACTCTGAGTTACTGGTCTTTGAAAATTTGCTTTCTGTTTACATTTCCAACAGGCCATAAGTGAGGGATGGGAATTATGCTAACTTTTCACTGACAGATGCCTTTCTGGAGAAAAGCAATTGATAGCCCCTGGTTCTAAGAGTTATTTACATTATTGAATTATTTTATAATATTACTTAAATTGTGTATTATGTTATTCATAGTTTTATTTGGATTTTGTAGCTGGATATGGGTACATAACAATCCACCTAATTTGTGATTAAAGAAAATAGTAATCGTTATCCAAAGTAGACTATTAAATACAGTTTAACTTCAAAGGAAAATAAATATTTTACAAGCAATGTTTCTGTGCTTTCAAAATAAACTACATAAACAAACAGGAAAATTTCACACGCTTTAGATGGACATACAATAGAAACAGTACATGTTTTGAGAGAGATAACGTAGTGAGGGCAGATTTTCCATTCTGATAGACACTTTCTCTTTTTTACATCTTTGCACTGAGGAGAGACTGCTTCAGTGCTGGAAACTTAAAAGCAGTTTGTTTGAACTTTGCCTCAGTTCTCAGGTGGAATTCACAAATACCTGCATGCCTGCAAAACTGGATGATTGGCAGACAGATAATTTCTTTCTGCAAATCTAGGGCTTTTATGTTAAGATATTTTTCTGGGACAGTAAGGGCCAACTGAAAATTTGGTCTGTATTGTGTCAAACATCACCTTCAAAAAGCGCATGTTGCTTGGTGAAACGGAAAGCATCCATGCACCCCTTTTAACTAAAAATGCTAACATGGTTCTGAGGTCCTGCATATTATTCTGGATTTTTTAAATATTCAGTGGCATGTGGAAGATGGAGTTACAGATGGCAGGGCTTGTTGATAGAGCTTTAAACTACTGTGAATGGGGGAAAGGGGCAAATCCAGGTTGTCCAGTGATGAGTGATAGGATGGCGTGCCAAAACTTGAAAAAACAAGCACTTATGGGACTCCTCAATCTGCTTCACCAGATGTCAGCTACAACGTACCACACCTGAAACATTTCTACACCAACGCACAAAGCATCGACGATAAACTAAGAGAAGCTCTGAGTTTATCGTCAAAGCTCAAAGCTTTGGCCCAGTCCCAGAAACTTGACATCAATGGCATAAGTGAAACCTGGTGGGAATGAGTCCTGTGACTGGAGTGCTCTGTTGGACAGTTACAGGTTCTTCAGGAGGGATAGCCAGGGCAGAAGAGATGGAGAAGTGGCACCGTATATTATAGAAGGGGTAGAATGTTTGGAGCTCACAAGTAGCAATGGCACAACTGAGTAAGAATCAAGGGGCAAACAAGTAATGCACATATACTGTAGGAGTCTGCTCTAGACCTCCCATCCCTCCCAGGACAATAATGCTAACAAATTATTCTTTGAGAAACTAAGGGACACTTCCAAGTCAACTGCCCTTGTCCTTATGGGGTACTTCAACTTGCCAGAAATTAACTGGGAGCATCACACAGCTGGTACAAACCTGGCCAGAAGATTCCTAAAAAACCTGGATGACAACTTCATGGAACAGGTCCTAAGGAAGCCAACTCAGAAAGATGCCCTCCTTGATCTGCTTGTGAAAAGAGCACATCTTATGAGAGAAGTGGAGACTGGTGGCATCTTGGCCACAGCAACCATGAAGTGTTTGAGTTTAAAATCTCTGTTGACAGGAGGAAAGGTGCTACCAAAACCTCAACTCTGAACATGAGGAGAGCAGACTTCAGGCTGCGCAGGGATTTAGTAGGGAAGGTCCTCTGGGAGAAATGTTTTTGCAGCTGCTGAAGTCCATTGCTGCTGGTC